CTAAGGGGAGAGCCAGTGTTTGGCATTTGCGCCCCTCACCTAAGTGAGGAATTTGGGCACCCCCTTTACAGGAAAATCATCTCTTGGGATGCTTTGCCCTGCAGGTGTCTCTGTCCTTTTCTATTATTCTCTTCAGGGAGAGCTTACGGTGTTGACTTTGTCGCCGCTCCAAGTTTAGGCATTTCCGTTAGTCCCTTAATTTGGTTGAAATGAATAGGGGCAGTATTATCAGCACAGGTATTCTGAGTTGCCTCCTTGCCGCATCAGTCCTGAGCTTAAAACTTGATGTGTGGAGACCACATTGTATCACGCTGATCATGCAGTTGGTAGGCTTTGTATAGGGGGGCACACATTTGAAAGACTGTAAATTGGTAATGCAGAGGGTGTTAGTGTGGTTACCTGTCACAGCTGCCTGAGAAATGGACTTTCAGAAAACTCGGTCATGAAATATCCTTTTGCTATCTAACACAGCATTTCCAAGTATAATTCCTTCTAGCTATGCCAGTGATTATTTGCATCAGTGGTAGTGGAACTGATCACAAAGTAAAATTACTAGGCTATTTAGGTCAGGTCAACCTAGCAAATTTTGTTTCATGGCTTAGAAAATATCTTTGACTGTCAAATGCATTGTATAAATATTTAAAAAACGGTAAGATGGCAAAACCACGTGTTAAAGTTAATGGATGAAAAAATTGACTCTTTTGTCTATATGAATTTTGATTAGGCTTTCCATGACACAGAATATATGTTTCTTACATAGATTGCCTGTCTCATTCTGTACCATAGATGGATGTCACTATCTAAATAAGTGATTTTTTTTAACTATTTTTCTTCTAATCCATGTAATTCAGTATGTGGTTCCATGTATTATTTATTGCCCAGCATTCAAATCCTGTACTGAGCACAGAAGTGACAGGAATATTTATTATTACTGTTTAATATTAATAAAGAGTTAAATGTGATGTGAAATGTGCGCCCTGTAGGAAGTGACCACATCCTAACACCCGTTTCTGTCAAATTAAGGCAAGACACTGAATTCCCTTAGAGTCAGTAAAAATTCAAAAGAATTAGAAAATACATAAATGAAATACAATGTTTTCTGAAGATTTCCGACTCCTCCCAATCATAATTTACAATAACTTTTAATACAGGTAGCACATTTTTGGTTAAATTACATGTCTTGTAGTATATCTGTCATGTGATTCTTTTGCTCCACCACTCAAATGAGGCACAAGTTAAGGCTTAGTATACTGTGTGGCCACGTTGTCCGCCCAAGAGGATAGTTAATACTTTGCAGAACCCCAAAGTGGTGCCCATAGAGAAAGGCAGGTTGATACTTCTGTTGACCTGATTGGAAATGACATATTTTGCATCAGTTTAAAAATGCTGTCACTACAGGATCTTAGATTTTTACTATTCCCTTGCAAATCACATTTTAGAGAATGGAAATGAGATGCAAAGATTAACACAGTTTACCGAATTCAAGGTATTTAAGATTTTACCATATAAGCTGAACACAAAGCTTCTGTTAAAGGTAGTTACAGCTGTGAATATTCAGTGCAACTCAGACCTGAATGCCTCAAGTTGGGTGCTTAGAAGAAAAGGGCCATACAATTAATGATCAGCTGAAAATGTAATTTGCATGATTTGCCTCATTTAGGAATCATATACATACAGTTATACAAGCAGTATGGGAAGCTTTAGACAGGAACACAGTGGCAGATGGAGGGATGGAGTACAATGCAGCATTGAGCTGTTGTAATCTCATTTCTGTATGGGCAGACTTGGGTCATACGCAGTAGAAGATTTATGCACATACCAATTAAGCACATCGCTGCTGAATTCTGAGGTGTGCAGGTCCTTTATAAAGCCTGTTCAGAGCTACACACTTGGAGAGTTGATGGTAAGGAAAGCAGGGTGGTGAGGAAGCTGCCTAAATCTAATCCCACCACAGCCATCTGCCTTAGATCCAGCACCTGAGTGACCCCCAGAGATTATGTGTGCATCTCAGCTGTTTGAGGAGCTGATCATCAAGAACTGAACCACTTTGAAAAAGGTGGCAGTAACCTTTTGGATAATAACCTGATGGAAGTCACCTCTCCTTAGTCACCGGGACAGATAGTGTGGAGTGGGTGCTCCTATAGGATGTTCTCACCCAGGCTAGCACTGTTCATGCATTTTACATTACGCCTATGGCTGAGTCACCATGAGGCCCACACTCAGTAGATAAAATGGAATCCAAAACTGTTTACATTTTACAAGCAATGAGCATCAGAAAATAGGTTCATAATGGAAAGTGTAGTGCAACGTTAGCTGTAGGTTAACTGTGAGTGTTCTTGGGCAGAGGTGAGTGGGAGTGGAGAAGACTGCCGCAAAATGCGCTTCACTGTGAGTTCATTTCCACCTAAACTCTCTGAAGAGGCATGATTGCTGATGATCTGAAGGAAGATGTAATTTAAGGTCTGGATGAGAGAATTGCATCTCTGAGGTATTGCCCTGTTTTGGCTAATGGCATGGTGGTGGAGTTTTTATTGGTGCTTCTATAACTCTCTTCCATCTTTAATTTCCTCAGCTGAAGTTCTACTGACAGGTCTTTGTAGTGTGGGACACCCGTACACATTTTAATACAATTTTGAAGAAAGATATTTCTAAGTTACTTCTAATTTTCCAGAGCAAAAAAAGTTCTGTTTGTGATTTCTTGTTTGGAAGAGTTGTATGATACAAGCTGAAATTATGCAGAGTATTGCTGTAAAATATGTGATGTACAGAAACTAAGATTATTTTAAAGTAATATGGCTGTATATACCTACACATGTTTAGTGAAGTAAGTTGCAAAATTTATAAATATTAATTAAAAAGTGTATATATATGATGCTAGATTAGTAGGGATACTTTATTAGCTATGATGTTAGAGATAAATAATCCATTAAAGATGTTAATACTTGCACAGATGGTGTAGTTTAAAGGAATTTTTAAAGACTGTAAAGTGAGTATATCACTTTCAGGTATATTTAAAGCTAGGTATATTTAAAGCTAGCTATACATTTTTTTCCTGCTTTACACTATGTGGAAAAGGATTTGTATAAAGTGATAAAAAAACGCAATGAAGCAAATGCAAACCGTTGAAAGTGCCAAATCATCCATGTAGGCAGTTCTGTGTCAAGGATGCCTAACAGTCCTGGGAGCCTCTGCCGTCTCTTGAAGGTGCTATGTAGTTACTGTGTTACACAGCTGGGTGTCAGGGATAGATGTTTTTGTCCTTGCCTTCAGACTGGATTCTCGGTTAATTAGAGAAATGAGGCTTTTTTAGGGATAATAAAACCATCATTAATTCTTGTTTGGCCAGTGTACTTAGAAATTATTTGGACGAACATAGAGCTCCAAATTCTGTTTTTCTGTAAAACTATTGACAACATTCTCTAGTATCTTTAACTTGCTTTTACACTAGTGAAGCTTATGCAATTTATTTTCCTTTATACTAGTGAAGCTTATGCAACGTGATTTCCGCAGTGCTGGGGGCACTTGAAGAGGCAAATCTTCCCTCAGCTGCCTGCTGTACTGTTCCATGTGGTAGATAGCTAGAAGTCTTGTGCCCTCCTGTGGTCAACACACCAAGGGAAATGTCAGGCAGTAAGCCTGGCATATTCTGGCCGTGTAATCTATTAGGACACAAACAGTAATATATTAGGAAACAAAATGAGCAAGGAAGTTAAAAATTATGAGCTTATTTAGATAAAGACAAAAATATCCATTGTTACATGTACAAAGATAAGTCAGGTAATAATTAGCCCCATTAGTGCCATAGTCGGTTAACCCAGTAATACTGGCATCTTTAAATCTGCATTAGTTAGACATAATATGTCCAAATTAAGTATCAGAAGAGACCAAGAAAAAATGATTTCATACAGTGTTAACATGCTAAGGCTGTCAATGTTGTTGAAAATGGGGGAAAATCTCATTTTGTAGTTCTGAGTTTAAAAGGTCTATTTTAGCTACATCTTCACTACAATAATAAATTGTCTTCAGTGGTAACACGCCCAAGTTTCACGTTGTGTATATAGTTGGAATATAGTCATCCTTAAGTTTATCCTTCTATCGTAGTGCCTGAAAAAAACGTTTATTCTAGGGAGGGCTCAGTAGCACAGGCAGTTAGTAGAGAAAGAAATACTCAAACAACCTTTAGCAGAGAAAAAAACATTCAAACAACCTTTGAAGTGAGACTCAGGCACTGTTAAAAATATTCCTAGTTCTCAGTCGTATGTATGATAATGAAAGGAAAGATCCCTGTTAGAGAAAGGTACAGGGTAAACCTCACTTACTTTACTGTGCTCAAGTGTCCTGGACTTTCAGCATTTCTGCAAAATAGATAATATCTTTTGAGCTATTTGAATTGGCAAACAGAAGCAGCAAGAGCCATTTCAGGCCCTGGAAGAAACAAAATAGACAAAGGCCGTATGACACTGGGAAGGCAGGTGCGTGTGGTGGGAGGGGGAAAGCGTGGTTTCTGGTCCTCTAACCAAAGGCAACTGCTCTGGTCTTCCCTTTTCCTCCCCTTCTTCACAGTGACATATCTGAACGAGTTCAGTATACTTCTCATGACAGTAAACAGTGGTTTTTCGGCTCATTTCAGTGGATAGCTACATCATGTCCTTCCCCCCCCCCCCCCCTCCCCATGTTCTTTTGAAGGGTGGTTGCAAACATTGAATTGAAGACACCAACTGGAGATGACCCTGTACCACGTGCACTATGCGGGCAATGCTTTTCTAAATACTTACTCTATTTTATGTGTCCCTTCAGAAAATAGCAGTGGAAAAAATACTGCAACAGGAGTGCAAGAACTGTAGGTCTTGTGGATGTTTGGTTGTAAATGATACAGTAGCTTCCTTTGCTCAATTATGTAGGATGGCTCCTACACAGAGCCTGTTAACTGAAATGAGTGTTGGGTGGAACACCTGCTCCCAAATGTTTTTCACACTGTTGCTCTCCTTTGTCCCTTGTAGGTATGGAGAGTGCAATCACGCTGTGGCAGTTCCTTTTGCAGTTGCTGCTAGACCAGAAACATGAGCACCTGATTTGCTGGACGTCTAATGATGGCGAATTCAAGCTACTCAAGGCAGAAGAAGTGGCTAAGCTGTGGGGACTCAGAAAAAACAAAACTAATATGAATTATGACAAGCTGAGCCGAGCGCTCAGATACTATTATGACAAGGTAAATTTTGTTATTCTCATGCAGACTAAGAAAATAGAAACACTACCATTTAATATTTCACCTCTATGTGGAAGCTATTCAAAAGTTCCTCTAACTAGTTTTTACAACAGACAACAGTATTGAAGGCAATCACAGTGGAGGTAAGAGGGCAGCTAAAAGATGCACAGGAAAACACTGCACATCCCATTTCCTGAGGAGGGGAGGTTTTGACCTAGGTTTACACTTACTGATGCTTTCATGTGTTTATGCATTTGGCTACCCAATATTTTCTGTAGCTTTTGACAACAATAAAATAACTGTTGATAACGGAGAACTGTTTGATTATTACAGCCTGCATAGGATCTTCTGGAATGCAGGGAGGTGATAGAAAGCAGTGATACTGCGATGCAGCAGGCAGAACGGCAGCTTTACCAGCAGGTATCACTTATGTCAGACCAAGGAAAAGACAAACAACCAACCCAACAGCATAGAGGGCGGGGTTGAGTTTTCAGAGTTTTCATGGGACACATCTTTTGGAGCATAGATCCTGTTGGCCAGTGTTTTAGCTAGCCTTGCCTGAGCTTTCTGGTAAATCTTTTCTACAATTGTATTGGGTCCTAATTGTATTGGGTCCTAATTTATTAGCTGGAACTACTGACAGTGCAGTATTACCTCAGCAGGATCTCACTGTAACTATTCCTTTGTTAATGCTCAGTGTTTCTAAGAGTTTGGAAATTTTCCACTACGTCATTTTAGGATAAAGTCTGTGTTAGCTTCAACAGTAGTCTAGATTATATCTTGCTATCATTTAATTAGCAGCAATATATATGAGAGAGCATTAATGTGACGTCTTACTGGATGAGAGTGCAGAATAAGAGTAGCAAACAGGGAGAAGCGGCTGGTCAGGTGGTGGGTGTCAGAGCAGGGATATGTTTGGGTCTGTTTGTCAAGGTAGTAGTCTCATGCTGAGCTCATCTCAGGTGAAGACTGTATTTGCTGTAGAATGTTAAATTTACTCCCATTTGGGAACTTATCTTCTGGGTATCTCAAGTCAAAATAGTGGAACATGTGCTTTGGTAGGGGTTTCTTCATCCAATTTTTCTGCCCTTGCAAGACCTACTGAATTTTGCCCCTCCTTCACAGATACATCTGTTGAGGTTTGATAGAACTAAGAAGACCCAAGGAGTCAGCACAGGTCAGGCAGCAACCTTATAACTGGCAAGCTGTTGTTATTTGCCCTCTCTCAGAAGCTGGTCACAGGCAGATAGCGTAGGCATATACTTAGTGCAGAGCTGTTGGCTGTTGAGAGCTCCACTTTCAACCTCTTTATTTAAAACTGAAATCTGAAATAATAACATAGTGAACATAGTAATTTGGAATTCTTTAGATCACTCAATTTGCTTCTGATTTTCAGACGTCATGAACATGCCCACAATCTAAAAGAGGTCAGTAGCGGTTACTGGTAGCTAGCACCTCTGAAAATAAAATTTCTGCAGTATAGTGGGAGTTCATAAGATCACTGTTACTCTCGTGAAACCGTCCTTCACTTTGACATTTAGTCCTTGGTCTTATTCTTCAGCATGAAGCAAGGTGGCAACAGTACAACAGAGAATGCAAAAATGAGAACGAGGGGTAACCAGGTAACCAGGATATGTATTAGAAGGCTATAACAGAAAGATATTTGAAGGGAATCTCTCAGATGCGTCAAGATACTAGAAGGAAAAAATTGTAGAACACAAATATGGAGGTGTTAAAATATCTTGCATATTCACCTTTCTCAATTTTAGACTCCAGCAAATGCAAGGAGTTCCCAAATTGTTTCTCCAGCCTTTTTTGGATGAACATTAACATTAATTTTATTAATTAATATAAAAACTTTTCAGGATTAGTTCCCTTTAAATGGATTTTTTTTATAATATGTCTAAATTAGTAGGTTTTACTATTTCCTATATTCTTGAACATTAAATATTGAAAAGAAGGACTTACAGATTTTGTATATTAAAAAGGAAAACTTCATAGCCATGCTTAGTGGTCTGTTCTCATCTTGATTTTCAGAAAAGGCAGTGAGATGAGATTGTACAGTGAATAACGCCAGTGTTCAACACAGTTATGGCATGCTTGCTGCCTGCACAAGGCAGAGGAAACTAGAATATTGTTGCTGAACTGAGCTCAGAGTACTGTTGTCATGTATTACTTGTAGTGCACTAATTCTTGAAGGGCACAGTGGGGCTGGGTGCTATGCAGCCAGTCTAACACAGCAATCAAAAAACATGTTGACTGCAAATTAACTGTGCACAATTTGATGATCAGACTTTTCATTACTCACATTGGAATTTGGAAGGACTCCTTCTTCTCCTGTAAGAATTTTTTAGTTTCGGATTTAGAGCTGTAAATTCTGCAATGAAATGTTTTTAGTGTTTTGTCCACTAGAAGTCAAATTTTTCCACTTAACATGTTTCAAAGGTGGCCTGACTGAGAAGGCACAAAAAGATTCAGAGAGGACAGTGCAGCGGCCGTTCCAAGCAGTTGGTGTGATGAATTCCCCTTCACTAAGTGCTAAAAAGGCTTCTGCTCAGCGTGGGGAAGCTCACTTCGTTATATGACTCCAACCCCTCTGATTATAAACTTGACTGGGATCAATGGAGACAGAGTGCCTGCTGGTGAATGAACAGCATATCCAGGCAGAGCTCAAATACACAGTGACTGAACAGACATTGCTTAAAAACAAGGGACGAGATCTTTGTAGCACTTGTCCTTTGAGATCTCTCTGATCTCTTCAAATCAATGGACTATAATGGCTCCTTGAGGCTCCCTCTCTTCTTTTGTCCCTTAACCTTTCTTTTTTTTTACCCTTGTACTGTTTTCAGTTGCGCCCCCCCGCAGCACACACACACCTTTGTCATCTGCTTTGTCTCTGCTCACGCAGCATCTGCCAGAGGAGTGGCTGTAGTTTCTTCACCAGGGCTCTGGCTAGGGTGATTGCTTGCTGTTCTTACAGCTGCTGTCTTGGACTGTGTGCTCTCTTCTGTCTGCAAATTTTATCTAGGTGTGGCACAAGGATTTTGGCCGTTTTTCCAGGAGTTCTGCAGCCCAATGGAGGTCGTAGCTCCTAGATGGAAAGAGGGATAAGGTCTTTCTTCCCCATGTATTGTGATCAGGGTTTGAACCCCAAACCAAAACCATGGCTATTGCTATTTAAATTGAAGGAGTAACTCCTTTAGCAGAAAACAGTGGGAGCTTCTCGCTCTCTGTGTGGGTGTGGCGTGTTGTGTCCTGTTGGTTCACAGGCAGTGGAGATAGGCAGATTATTGGGAGAGTGCAGAGGGACAGGGGAACTTGCTGCAGGTTTTGAAGTGTGAGAGATACTAGCATAAGATAGCAGATAATGAATCCTAGTAGGCTGGCAGGGAGTGCTCAGCAGTGGGTTCAGTCCTAAATGCTTCCTCTGCCTTCAGTTCAGTCTATGCTGCATAGCACAGGAAGGGAAGAAGTCGAGGAGGGAAGGAAAGGCTCCTTGGCATTCTTCTTTCCCTTCTGCAAAACAAAAGGGGAAGGGCTGGTGTGGTGAAAGAGACCCTCTCAGACTTTTGCACTCCTCTCCCTTGGACCATTCACCAATTTGTGGGATAAACCAAGAGCAGTCTAGACCCTGAGGTAGCCTTAAGGAGCTTTCTGAGATCCTTGTCCCGTCCCTTGCTGTTGGCAGTGATGGATGCGTTGGCAGCTGGGTGTGCTGGGGCAAATGGGATGCACACTGAGCCAATGGGATAAACATTGTGCTGCAGGCTGGGGGGGTGGCAGCAGGAAAGGCAAGAGGCAGAACTCTGGACAAGTCTCTGTTTGGGTTGTGGAATTATCAACAGGGACTTCTCTACCTATAACCCAAATGATCTGACAGCATGTGAGTTTGAGGCAAAGGGCAGTGATTTTTTAGAAACGATGGTGGCACAAGGGATGGGCCTTCCTTTCTTGGGCTGCCCTCTGCTGCTACTGCATACAGCTGACACTAACTGAGCTACTGCTCCGTGGTTTGTCTTTGAAATTATTCACCGTGGAGAAATAAAAACTGATCACTGGATAAATGGAGGTTTATGAGCTCTGCCATTTTGCTTGGGGGGAACAGTGGCTTGTTAAAATTCATCATCTGATTCATCTGAACTTAAAAGTAAATTAATTCCAGTACTGGAGAAAAATAATACAATTAGGACAAGTTCCTTAGCCTGGCTTTGAAAGCAAGCATGACATGCTGTTGAGGCTGATGGCTAGATTTATGTTAAATTCACATATAAAGCACCCCAGGAAATGTAGACTACGGCATGTCTTGATTGTAATTTGCTACCATGATTCTGGTTGCTAAAGGTTTGTAGATAATCTGAAGACTTTCCATTTCCTGTTTTGTTTGTTGCCCAAATTCCCTTCCCCCCTTTTTATTTAATGCATTTCCCCTGTTGCCTCAACAGAGCAGCAGAACAAGTAACAGCGCTGAGGAAAGGCGTTCTGCACTCTCTCTACCTACAGCTTCAGAAGCATGCCCATCATGTCACACACTTCTGCCGGTCAGAAATCTCTTGTAATGCTTTCAGGGAAGGAAAACCTTCACATCTATTCCCACACAGAGCACTTTAGCTTGATGTGTAGAACTAAAATACCTTTACAAGTAGGATTAGTAGGTTTCTTCTTGTTGAAGTTGCCCAGTTACTTTGTTTTTCTGATGGCTGTAATGACAGATACCTTTTGGAAGTCTCTGGAGGTTTCAGGACTACTAAAGGTCCCCATGAATATTTCAAGATGACTCCACAAGAGGGAAGGTAGTGAGTTTTCCCCATGAGTGGTTTTTTTGAGGGAAGGAGGGCGATTCCAGGAAATTGCATGCAGATACCGACATTAATAGGATGTAACAGCTGCGGAAGTGAAGCCCTGGGAAGTTAGGAAATGCAAGAATCACAGTTCCCTGGGTAAGCTTAATGTTTGCATGAGTTACGCTACATCTTTAATTACACAGTCCCATACTGTTGTGATGA